AGAACTCTTACGACTTATAACATTAACAAGGGTTCAGGAACTTATACGAGTTGTAACTGGAGTTAAAAGAATTTTGGAAACTCATACTGAGTGAACATGTATGGAAAAAATATACTTGTTGATTCGGGAGCAAGGATACGGGTGCCAAGAATTTTAACCATGTTAGTTTAAAAAAAAAGGTTTTTCTTGTGTAGATGGAAAAGAATTTCTCTCTTGGTTGTAGAGAAAAAACATATTCTTACGAATATGGAGCAACTTTTGGCTTCGATAGTAGAAATTCAACAATAACAGAAACAGCAACAGCAACATAATCAACGGTTGCTAGAACTGCAAAAACAACAAGAGGAGCTGTTGGATATCATTCTGAAGAAAACAAAAAATTCTTCAACGTCTCTTATGCCAAATGCTGTCCAAAACACTATATCAGAATTTGTATACAATCCTGATGATGGACTGTTTTTTTTTCTCTTATTTTCGTAGATATGAACAAATATTCAGTCAGGAATCCAGAGGCTTGGAAGATGAGAGAAAAACGAGAATGTTGTTGAGGAAAATAGCTTCGCTAGAGTATGAAAAATACTGCAACTACATATTACCGAAAAACAGGTGAAATCGGGTTTGAAGCCACGGTACATATCTTTAGAGACAAAAGCTCTCTGTTTAATGATTGTTGGAGGTGCACGAATCTAACCCAAAAAGAAGACGAATATTTTGTCACGTATGCTGGCATCGTCAACAAAGAATTTGAAAAGTTTAGAATAAAGGAAATGACTCCAGATATGTTCAAACGGTTAATTTTCGTTCAAGGTTTAACAGCTAAAAAAGATGCTGAAATAAGAGTGAAAAAATTAACGAAAATTGAACAAAACAATATTACACTGCAAGAAATAGTGGACGATTGCCGGACAATTCTAAATCTGAGACACGATGCTGAAGAAATTCAGAAAAAAAGTAATGTGCATTGGTACAAGCAAACAATAACTGTAAAAATAGGAGGATAAATACTTGTTTTAGATGTGGGAAATTACATCTGTCCATTTAAAAATGCAGAATGTTACAAGTGTGGTAAACGAGAACATATAAAGTCACAATGCAAAACGAAACCAAGAAAAAATTCTCACTGGAAGAAATTCGTACACAGCATTGCGACGGAAAATTGGTCACAGAAAACAAAAGGAAATTTGTGAATGTGAAAATAAATAATGTGGGGTAAAATGCTACTAGACACTGTTAGTGATATTTCAATAATCATTAAATCTACATGGAAGGAAATTGGAAATTAAAAAGGACATCCAAAGTTGCGATTTCAGTTTCTGGTGAGAAATTATTTTTTTATTTAGAAATGACTTGCAATATCTCATTCCGTAGTAAGTATGTAAAAACTAAAATTGATGTATTAAAAAATGCTGCAAATTTATTCGGTACTGACAGGATGCAACTATTTGAACTTTGGGATTTTTCGATAAACGTTTATTGTTAAAACGTAAGTGGACAATTTAAAAAGTCAGAGCAAAAATCTCAAGGAAAAATAAAAAAAAATGTTTTCCAGATATTCTGTCAAATGAATTGGTTCGGTGCTCAAAATTCAAGGCGCCAGTATTTAAGACGAAACGAAGTGTATCATTCTCAGCATTGTAACAAGTCAATGAACAGTTGGACAGACTAGAAAGAATTGGTGTAATAGAAAAAATTAAACATTCAAAATTGGCTGCACCAGTGGTGTATGTAAAAAAAGTAAATGAATTTAGTCTTTGCGCGGATTTATCGACAGGATTAAACAGTTGTTTAAAAATACATAACAACTCATTATCAAGTCCAGAGGATTTTTGTTCGAATTTAAACGGCAGGAGAATATTTTCAGAGCTGGATTTCTCTTAAATATGCACTGAGGATTATACAGGGTGTCCATAAGTTCGTGTGCACTTTAAAAAATTTATAATTTTATTTGTGTTTGCGATAGAAATAACCTGTAAAAATGTTATAAAGTTTAATGTACCTAGTTTTAAGTATAGCTAAAATATTTAATGTGATTTCAGGCATTACTGTAAATCAGTTGGCAAATGTTTTCCGTGAACTGCAAAATCGTATTACCCTTTGTATTGCTAATGATGGAGTTTAACCGACTTTCTTTTGGTATAAATGTGACACCAGCTATTTTTCAAAAAAACTACTGATACCATGCTTGCGGATGGCGTATCTGGACGACATTTTAATCAACAGTGCATCTAAAGAGCGTCTTGGGCATCTGAAAGCAGTTTTGGAAAAACTAAGAGAATACAGTTTCAAGCTCAATGAAGAAAAATGCGAATTGTTTTTGCCAAAAATTAAATATCTTGGTCAACTTATTGATAAAAATGGTCGTCAGCCAGATCCGTTGAGGGCAAGTGTGATTAAAAATAAGCCTCCACCAATAAACGTGACTACTTTACAATCTTTTCTAGGATTGGCTAATCACTATCAAATATATATACATAATATGCATAATTTGAGAGCTCCACTGAATGATCTACTTAAAAAACGAGTAAAGTGGAACTGGAATGATAACTGTCAAAAGGCGTTTGACGAAATAAAAAAAAACTTACGTCAGATTTATCATTAGCACACTACGATTCAAAAGCAGAAATTGTAGTGGCGTCAAACGCTAGTGAGTACGGTATTGGAGCTGTGATTTTACACAAATACAATGGCGGTAAAATGAAAGCTTTCGCTTATGCTTCACGCTCGCTTCTACCAGCAGAGAAAAGTTACAGTCAGATAGAAAAAGAGGCTCTAGTAATTATATTTAATAAATTTATTCATGGAAGAAATTTTAGGTTGCAAACAGACCACAAACCTCTATTAACAATATATGGTTCAAAGAAAGGAATCCCTATGCATAAAGCTAATAGACTACAACGCAAGGGTACCATCTTCTTAAACTATGATTTTACGATGGATTACCAACCGTCTAAGTCTTAGGACATGCGGATGGATTATCAAGATTAATACCTAAAAATGCGGAACCATTTGAGGACACGTTATAAAGTTTAATGTACCTAGTTTTAAATATAGCTAAAATAATTAATGTGATTTCAGGCATTACTGTAAATCAGTTGGCAAATGTTTTCCGTGAACTGCAAAATCGTATTACCCTTTGTATTGCTAATGATGGAGTTTAACCGATTTTCTTTTGGTATAAATGTGGCACCAGCTATTTTTCAAAAAAACTACTGATACCATGCTTGCGGATGGCGTATCTGGACGACATTTTAATCAACAGTGCATCTAAAGAGCGTCTTGGGCATCTGAAAGCAGTTTTGGAAAAACTAAGAGAATACAGCTATTCTAAAAAGCGAAATAGAAATTTTTAAAAAATGTTTTTTTGTGTAAAGTGGTATGTGAGTTACCAGTTACCCTGAAAAAAAAAAGAAAAGAAAAAGCGATAAATGACGTCTTCATTGTGAGAATAAAAAAGCAACAAAAAACGAAAGCCAGACTTAAACGCTTACTTGCAACGGTGTAGTCAGGTTCAGGCAAAAGGTTGTAATACCGAATGTGTTACAGAAGCGAATATTGAAGAATTTTCACAGCAGACATCCTGGCATTTCAAGAATGAAATCTCTGATGAGAAGTTTCGTATATTGAACCAGAATGGAGCGAGATATTAAGAAAAATAGTGAAAGCTTGCAGAGGCTGTATCACCCAAGGTCGAACGAACAAGCAGAATGGTTTGTGGGAACGTTTAAAAGAGTATTGGAGAAAGCAAGTCTTGAGAAAATAAATGAGGAAACAATTCAACATTTTCCGAGAGTTTACCATGTAACACCGAACCCCAATAGACCATCAGGCATTTCGCCGGCGGATTTAATGTTTGCTAGAAAATTAAAATCGGTGTTCAACAAGTTATTACCAAGTCGAAAAACACGAACGGATAACAAAAACGACACCAAAAGTTTCAAGGTCAGAGATAAAGTGTTCTTTAGAACATATAAAGATGGCAAAGAAAGGTGGGAAGACGGCGTAATGTCAGCAAGAATCGGAAAGTTGCTTTACCTGGTAAAATGGAAAATGACCATAAAAGGCACCATAATCAGCTGAAAAAAGGTTCATCAACCAAAGACATGAAACACTGGAAGAACCGATAAAAATGCTATATGATGTTTTCGATGTGCCATCACCACAACAAGTCGTGAAACTTACAAGGACAAATTCCTGAAAAACAAATCGTACTGAAGAACTGGAATTGGATCCGAGACGGAAACGTTACAAAATCAAGTACGTCGACGAATTCTCCAGAAAGAAGAGGGAGAGATACTAATATTAATAATAAATAAAATATTTATAAAAAAGTATTAATTTCAAAAGGAAATGTTGTAGAGTAAATAGTTCACTCCCAGTGACTATATGAACTAGTACTTAACTATAAAGAGCTCCAGGTCAGAGGTATGAAAAGAACCCGTTTTGAAGCCAGTCTTCAGATTAATTTATACAGGTGTCACGGCAAGTAGCCGAAGCATTACTTATATTATAATCGCTACGTACCACGTGTGAACACTTAATGAATGGACAACTAATTCAAGCAAGACGATACAGGTGTGATACTCCGAGTGTACATGTCTTGTCTACGGAAAAATCAAGGCAACAGAACACATCCTTTGGGCAGAAATATTATATCGGTCTAAGACCTCACGTATGGAAACAAGCTCGTTCATACATGAGAACTAAAAGACCCACTGGAAAAAGTGGGTGAGATACGTTGCTCGTGTCAGCAACCCCTACCGCCATTTGATTTAATATTATCAGAGAAGTAAGGTTAATTAGACGGTAGGTACATTTAAGGGATGTAAGGTTGGTGGGGTCTTCTTCTCTATTTCGTACCTGTGTTAAGTGAGATTACTTAGAGAATTGAAAGTAATGAGTAAAAAAAATGTCAAACATTAGAAAATGCTTAGAAAAAAATCAATTATTTCACTGCAGATGAGATTCATATCAGTATTTCAAATTTCTACAAGTTATATTAGACTTCATCTTTTTCTTTTACTTTTTTCTTCTTTTCTTTTTTCTTTTTCTTTTTCTTCTTTTTCTTTTTTCTTCTTTTTCTTTTCTTTTTTCTTCTTTTTTCTCCTTTTACTTCTTTCTTGTTTTTCTTTTTTCTTCCTTTTCTTTGTTTTCTTCTTTTTCTTTTCTTTTTCTTTTTTCTTTTTCTTTTTTCTTCTTTTTCTTTTATTTTTCTTTTTCTTTACATTTTTCTTTTTCTTCTTATTCTTTTTTCTACTTTTTCTTCTCCTTTTTCTTCTTTTTCTTTTTACTTCTTTTTCTTTTCTTTTTCTTTTTTCTTCTTTTCTTTTTTCTTTTTCTTTCTCTTCTTTTTCTTTTTTCTTCTTTTTCTTTTCTTTTTCTTTTTTCTTCTTTACTTTTTTCTTTTTCTTTTTTCTTCTTTTTTATTTCTTCTTTTCTTTTTCTTTTTTCTGTTTCTTCTTTTTTTCTCCTTTTACTTCTTTCTTGTTTTTCTTGTTTTTCTTTTTTCTTCCTTTTCATTGTTTGCTTCTTTTTCTTTTTCTTTTTTTTCTTCTTTTTCTTTTCTTTTTCTTTTTCTTTTTTCTTCTTTTTCTTTTCTTTTTCTTTTTCTTCTTTTCTTTTTCTTCTTTTTCTTTTTTCTTTTCTTTTTTCCTCTTTTCTTTTTCTTTTTTTTTCTTCTTTTTTTTTTTTCTTTTTTCTTCTTTTTTTTTTCTTCTTTTTTCTTTTTTCTTTTCTTTTTTTCTTCTTCTTTCTTTTCTTTTTTCTTCTTTTCTTTTCTTTTCTTTTTTTCTTCTTTTTTCTTTTTTTCTTTTTTTTTTCTTTTTCTTTTTCTTTTTTCTTTTAGTTTTTTCTTTTTTTTTCTTTTTTTCTTTTCTTTTTCTTTTTCGTTTTCTTTTTCTTCTTTTCTTTTTTCTTTTTCTTTTTTCTTCTTTTTTTCTTTTTTCTTCTTTTCTTTTTCTTTTTTCTGTTTCTTCTTTTTTCTCCTTTTACTTCTTTCTTGTTTTTCTTTTTTCTTAGTTTTCTTTGTTTTCTTCTTTTTCTTTTCTTTTTCTTTTTTCTTCTTTTTCTTTTATTTTTCTTCTTTTATTTTTCTTTTCATTCTTTTTCTTTTTTCTTCTTTTTCTTTTCTTTTTTCTTCTTTTTCTTTTCTTTTTCTTCCTCCTTTTTTATTTTTTATTTTTCTTTCTTCTTCTTTTTCTTTTATTTTTTCATCTTTTCTTTTTCTTTTTTCTGTTTCTTCTTTTTTCTCCTTTTACTTCTTTCTTGTTTTTTCTTGTTTTTTTTTATTTTCTTCCTTTTCGTTGTTTTCTTCTTTTTCTTTTCTTTTTCTTTTTTGTTTTTTCTGTTTCTTCTTTTTCTTTTTTCTCCTCTTTTCTTGTTTTTTCTTTTTCACCTTTTCCTTTTTTCTTCTTTTTCTTTTCTTTCTTTTTCTTCTTTTTTCTTCCGTTTCTTTTTTCTCCTTTTTCCTTTTTCTTCTTTTTCTTTTTTCTTCTCTTTCTTTTTCTTCTTTTTTCTTCTTTTTCTTTTTCTCCTTTTTCTTTTTTCTTGTTTTTTCTTTTACTTTTGCTTCTTTTTCTTTATTTCTCGTTCTTTTTTCTTATTTTTCTTTTGTTCTTCGTAATACATTTAGGAAATAAAGAAATTAAGCCTAAACTAGGCTGTGCTAGGGATAGTGTCGCAGAACACTGCAAATTGCATTAACCTATAACCCCAAGTCAAGTTATCAAACAACCTATACAGATCGAAAGCTTCATATGTATGCCATGCATAGCGCCAAACGCGTTTAAAAATATACCGGCTGGTAACTGTATACAATCGCTTTTCTCAGATCAATAGTTAAAAATGGCTTCGAGCGAATGAATCCTGTAGGCCTTAGAGAGAACTATACTTCTTCGAACCTTATGAACTGGCGCTACACAATCACGAACAAAAAACTGTACCAAATAACAGTAGACAAATCACTTAAGGACTTTCAGCAACAGCAACAAGTAAAATAGAGATCACGTGAAACTCGAAGAGAAAATAATAACAAAATCAAGATGTTGACGTTCCACACTACTTCAAACAAAAGGTTAGGGAGGAAACTTCCATCAATACTGGAAAGAGCGATAACAGCTACTGGACTTGAGAAATTTGTTTTCCTAATAAAATGTGTTTTAAGAGAGAGATTTATTAAATTCCAGAGAAAATAATGACATAATAAAGATGTTGACATTCCCCACTACACCAAACAAATGGTTAGGAACGAAAATTCCATCAATACTGGAAAGAGCGATAAAAGCTACTGAAGTTGGGAAACCTCTTTTCCTAAAAAAAATAAATTGTTTTAAGAGAGAGTTTTTTAAAATCTTTGTTAACGAATCAATTTGAAAATCTCGATCTGACAAAGTGCTGGGTATGACGATAAACTACATCCGGCAGCAAGGCCTCTGATCGAGACATTGGAGATTTTGGAACCACCTCTTAATTGCTGATTTTCCCAGGTCCATCCTGACCCGGTGTGATAGCACTGGTTAGGGTCCCACCTATGGGTAAATAGTGAACTCCCAAATAAAAACAAAACACTATGAACGTATAAAATACATTTTTATTGTAAAAAAATTATATATAAAAATGTATTGCTGCATTTTTACAATAAAAATGTATGAATTCCTTATGGGTCATTTGATGCCAAAATTTAATTTTCTTGAGAGCTTTGAAGTAATAAAAATGTTATTCTGCTTTCACAGCTGAATACATGGTAGATGATACTCGGCTTTTGTGCATATACATATCTGTGTAGACATGATTACAAGAGACGATGATATGTGAGTTTTATGTTGCAGTTTTGTTGAAGTTATATTTTGGAATACAGTTTGCTTTAAGAAATTGTAGGATATTATATGGATTAATGTCATGAAAGCGTCCTTTCATGTTGGTTGTTTGGTTTTGTTTAGTGGCATATCAACACATCTATGGGTCATTTAATGCCGAAATATAAATAATCTGAACACAATTTTATGGCTTAAGCTAAATATATTTTGAATGTCATTGTATACTTTCAACTACAGATAAAATTGTTGGTCATTTTTCTATAAAATGTATTGTTGTATAAATTTTGGCATCAAATGACCCATAAGGAATTGATATGCCATTTAACAAACAAATCAATCGATCTAATGAGGCTAACGAAAATATCTTGATTAACCCTTTGGAATACCATGTTGGAATGGCAAACCCCATGACATCTAATATATTATTTAACGGTGATCATTTTCTCTACAGCAGAGTCTCTTGGTTTGCATTAAACCTGGATTCATCGGGCAACTACCATGACATGTCAGCAACGAGACATTTATGAAGAGGATCCGTGTGTATAGTGTTATTTGCGAGGACACTTGCCCAAAGTGACTATAAGAAAAGAACTAGACCTCATTGGAACATGTGACAGTAGATCACATGCTCGACACAGCATTAAAAATAAATAAAGCACTTGTTTCATATCTTTGGTTCCCCCAAAAAACAACAGGAAATTCCAACGCTATTTTGAAAAATGTCTTTGTCAACATGAACGTTAACAGAAACATAAGCAGCTGCTCCCGCTGTGATTATAGTCTTCAAATTCCCAGCAGAAGAGAATACGTATCAGTAAGGTCAAATATACATATGAGTTTATGTTTATATATATATATATATATATATATATATATATATATATATGTATGTATGTATGTATATATATATATATATATATATATATATATATATATATATATATATATATATAAAAAAAATATTATAAAAAGGCTCAAACACTAATATTCCATGGTTATATATATATATATATATATATATATATATATATATATATATAATTGTAAACACTAATATTCCATATATATATATATATATATATATATATATATATATATATATATATATATATGGAATATGGAATATTAGTGTTTGAGCCTTTTATAATATTTTTATATATATGTATATATATGTACATAATATATATATATATATATATATATATATATATATATATATATATATATATATATATATATATATATATATATATATATATGTATATTAATATAATAGCGCGACTCGGTTTTTTCATACACAACGCAATCTTCAGGTACTGAGTATAGACTGACCGTTACGAAATGGTCAGTCTACACTCCTGCACCTGAAAATTGCATTATGAAATTCCGAGTCGCGTTATCGGTGATATATATATATATATATATATATATATATATATCGTTAATAGCTGTTTTATCACACCGAGCACTGTTTTAACACCAGCATTATATGAGTGATATGTGTGTGTGTGTGTGTGTGTGTGTGTGTGTGTGTGTGTGTGTGTGTGTGTGTGTGTGTGCTCAAGGCCAAATGTTTGGGTCTACACCCTGGATTTCGAAGAATTAAACTATTACTGCTCAAAGTTTACACCATTTTACATCTTTTGCTCAATCTACTTTGCAGGTTCAGTGCATTTATTTTGTGCGGTTTCGTTCCCAAAAGTTGTTACACATGACGCCATATTTAATTAACGTTTAAAATAACAAAAATACATCAGATTAAAAAATAAATTCCAAATTTGTGTTTATTTTGGTTGATTATCTTTATTTGTTTTTTCTAACGGTAACTTTATCGGGATTGTTGTAGTTTCTAAAACTACAACAATCAACCCCCAAATCAACCGAAATAAACACAAATTAAAAACTGTTCCTGCAAAAATAATAGTTAGAATAAACTACAACAATCAACCCCAAAACCGAACAAATAGTTTTAATTAAATTCTAAAACTAAAACAAAACTATTAAATAAGTGATATAAATAAACTTTTACTACGTTAATAAAAACACCGATTAAAAAATAAATAAATAAATAAATAAAATAAGAAACAAAAAATAAAAATAAATAAAAACAAGCAAAATAATTTAACCCACATAAATAAATAAACGACTTCCTGTAAAATAACCGCCATAATAGACTACCCACAATGCACTACTGACCCGTATATATATATAAATAGCCGAGAAAAATAACAGCACACGTGGCCTGACGATTGCATATAGCATGAAACAGACTGTCGCCTCTGAGTGTTGACTTCTATGTTCACTTTTATATTTACACACGCTCTATCTCTGATATTGAGCACTTTATCCCATAAATATAGCACACCTTAAGACTATATTTCTTTATATATATATATATGTGTGTGTGTGTGTGTGTGTGTGTGATGGTCTCTCCCGTCAAGTTCGATGTATGAGGTTCCGACGACCACGAACTAATTATCTGCATGCCTATGACGGGCATGACTTTTAAGGCTGGCTCGAGAATTCCACAAAAGATCACAAACAGTACAGGAGAAAGTATTGCATGCAATTGCAAAAACACTGTTTACCAGTCTTATTTTTCTTTCGTGTTTCCCGCAGTCGAATGATGCTTACTTCTTGATGGTGTATTATTCGTGCATGGCAGCTAGAACGATACTCTGATCTCTTCATAACTACCTCTTCAAAGTTCTTGAATGGAATGTTGGCACAATAAAGGTTGATCTTCAGTTTATCTTTATACCTGAGCCAAGGTCTACCAACATTTCTATGACCACTATGGAGTTCACTGTAGAAAAGAACATTTGCTATACGATCATCATTCATCCTTGCTGCATGGCCAGCCCAATGCAATTGTGATTGCAATATGAAGGTCTCAAGGGTACCAATCTTGCAGATTCTTTCCACCAACTTGTAAAGGGACCCCAGAAAATTTACAGGGGGTCTCTGTTTTACACTTCCAATTTGCTTCGGTGTTGGACTAGATGAATAACTTCAGTTTAATTGACGCTGCTGGTAAGTTCCGAACGCCTTACATGCCGCAGAAAACCGGTTGAATAAATCTTGAGCTTTCTCTAAAGCAAGGGTCAGCAATCTCCGGCCCGCGAAGGCATTTTGACCGGCCCGCGAGCCTGATTACCAATGACTCTATTTTTTTCTTTTTTCTTTTTTTTTTCTTTTTTCTTCTTTTCTTTTCCTTTTTCTGTTTTTTCTTTTTTCTCCTTTTACTTCTTTCTTGTTTTTCTTGTTTTTCTTTTTTCTTCCTTTTCTTTGTTTTCTTCTTTTTCTTTGTTTTCTTCTTTTTCTTTTCTTTTTCTTTTTTCTTCTTTTCTTTTTCTTTTTTCTTTTTTCTTTTCTTTTTTCTTCTTTTCTTTTTCTTCTTTTTTCTTCTTTTTCTTTTTTCTTCTTTTCTTTTTTCTTCTTTTTCTTTTCTTTTTCTTCTTTTCTTTTTCTTTTCCTTCTTTTTCGTTTTTCTTTTTTCTTTTCTTTTTTCTTCTTTTTCTTTTATTTTTCTTCCTCCCTTTTCATTTTTTATTTTTCTTCTTTTTCTTTTTTCTTCTTTTTCTTTTATTTTTTCTATTTTTCTCTAATTTTAACATGAGAGACGAGACTTTCGAATTAGACTCTGCCAGTTATCTTTCATGAGACTTATCTTACCAAGTTGCGTTGCCTACGTTTAATGTCAAATAATGGATACATATTTGTTATGACCCTTGGCTACATTAAATGATAACAGAAGCGAAAGGAACGATAAAATGAAAGAGGCCAGGGAGGGACTGACATGCGAGGTAGCAGAAATCTAAAGACAGTTAAACATACGCGCATTATACATACATACCTCATGAATGTGTGGATGATACCGCATGTGTACGTACGTAAGTGTATATGTTTGCAACTATTTGTACTCGTATGTATGGGTATATGTGCTTCGTTTTTGTTTGATGTGTGTGTGTGTGTGTGTGGTTCGTTTGTGGAACAATTTTCAATAAGTTTCAAACCTACACGTCATAATTTCACTTCGGTTGATTTTTTTCACTTTGAAGTATTTTGACGTTACTTGAGGAAAAATAATTTTTGTTAGGTGTTTTTTAATTTTAGATTTTCTTTTGTTTTTTGATTTCTCAATGTTTATTTTCATTATGGTTTTAAATATTTAGGTTGACAGGGGTCTGCATATGTAATTTTCCTTAAGTTTTCATTAATGGCCTTCGTCCGGCCCGCGACCCGTCATTATAACACGATCCGGCCCGCGGGGTCGAATGAGTTGCCGACCCCTGCTCTAAAGTTGTTGAAACTTGACTAATGCATGGAATAATAATACAACACAAAAGGTACTTAGAACAAAATGTATTGAAACAAGAAAGTGTACACAATATTTACATATAGTCTTTTGTATATTCTTGGGAAGACCGTTCCTGGAGAATGTGTTGACTTAGTCGCAGTCAGGCAGAGTCTCTGGATTGAATCTCTTGATTCCTCCCCCCGTCTTCCCGGTACCAACCATATTTATATGGTCGGTACTCCACTATGCAAATTAGGTGGATCCTACCACAACAAAAGTGTTAGCTACAAGAGCAGCGTCGTCTACAAAAAAGAGATCGCGTATAATACTGGTATGTAGAAGTGTTTTGGACTTAAGCCGCTGATGATCAAACAGTCCTCCATCAGTTCGAAAATGAAATTTAATGCCAGTTTTTGTATCACGAAAAGCATACCTCAGCATCACTGATAAGAACAGCGCAAACAAGACAGGTGCCATGACACAGCCGCCTTGCTTAGTTCCATTAGCGACATCAAATAGATCAGAATGCTGATGACCATTAGGTATAACGCTAGCTTGCATATTGGCATGAAATGAAATAATGACAGGGACTTTCCAGAGTGCTTCTCTGTTTACAGTATCAAAGGCCTTAGTAAGATCCACGAATACCATAAATAGCTCCTTGTTTCGCTCATGAACCTTCTTTGCAACGCGACCGGAAGGAAATCTACACTGAGATTCAGGATAGATTGGCGTATTATAATTCTGCTGAGGATGAACCTTGCCAAATTTTTTCCGCTGGTAAACAAAAGTAAGATGCCTCTTCTTATGGCCCGGTTCCTTGTACCACGGTGATAGTCCAAGGTAGAACCAATAAGAAGAACACAGATATATTACAAACAGGAATATATACAGAGAAGTAGAAAGTGTTAGTACCAACAATCAGGTTTAGTAGTAATTGTCTGAACGAGACTCTGTTTCGGACTGCCTCTGACTCGACTGACTGACTCCTCGCTCTGACTGACTGACAGACTCCTGACGGACTTCACTCCAGACCTCAGACTGAACGGTATTTAGTCACCCCCCCCCCACGAGGGCATCATGTGTTTAACGTGGGATATCCGAGCCCGTGGGCTCGGCCAAAAATATGCACTTTGAACCCGCAAAAAAGGGTTAAGGGTCGCTTTATCTCACTGAAAGAGACTCCGCCCTTCGACGTAGCCTCGTTCGGATTCCTCACCGCCCGAAGGGAGAGCGTTCAACCGATCAGCCGGTCGCCCGACTTCGGACTGAACTCTCTTCTTCCTCTTGAGGCGCAGTATTTATTACGTATGGAATAGTCCATTATGTTATTATGGGTAAGGTCCCATAACATCTCTATGGTTATCGCGTACTGTTTTAAAAAAACTTTCTTCGTGTAGATGTGTAGCATTTATTGAAGTCCTGAGGAACATCCTTGATCTCCAAATTTGAATGAACAGATCGTGCAGTAACTTACAAAATGTATGCTCTCCATGTTTGTAGATTTCAGCAGAGATAGCATTCTTGCCATAAGCTTTTCCTGACGTTATCTGCTTGATATAAACTTGCACTTCCTGAAAAGTGGGTTCCAGAGATGACTCAAGAATTTCAGAATGTTGTGATAGAGCGGAAAAAGCTTTATCAACTGTGATTGAGGTGCTGTCGAACACTGTTTCGGAATGATCTCTCCAGCGCTAAAGTATGGCTTCTTTATCAGTTAGGAGAGTATCCCTGTCATTGGATAGAATTGGAGACGGTAAGCGTGAGATATCTTTGTAGTTGGCTTGTTTTAACAGTTTTTGCCATTTATCCAGACCTTATGATACCTATGCATCTCATCAATCAATCTTTGGTCTTTTTTATCATTTTCATCAAACTAATCTTGATGTTTGCGCAGTGGAAGCCCAAGAACTTCTATGAGTTGCTTCGAGCAATGCCTTCCATGACAATTCGACGTCATAATAAATGCCCGGAGAGCAGTGTTCAGTTTATCAGAAAGATCGACTTGCACTTGATGGCTTTTTCAGCAATGAAAAGGCGTTTTGGTATAGACGACCTTTGTAACTGTTTATGTTTAGGACGAAACTTGACTTTGCTGCGAAACAGGGCGTGTTTAGAGATGCATCAGGTGTCATGAAAAGAGCGTGTGATGAGAAAGTCTCGGACATCTCTCTGCTTGGTAATGACAAAGTCAATAAGATTCCAATCTTTCGATCTGGGATGCATCCATGAGGACTTGCGGAAAGTGAACCGCTGAAACAGTGTTTGTGATACTGAGATCAAATTCTCTACACATAGAGTGTAAACGCAGACCATTACAATTAATTCGCTCAAGACCGTGACAACCAATGACATCTTTCCATATCTGATGGCCACAACCAACACGGGCGTTGAAGTCTCCCAAAAGAACTAATTTATTCCTATGGTCACAGGTAGATATCACATTCCGAAGTTGATTGTAGAAGTGACCCTTTACGTGCTCAGTGCTGTTCATGGTCGGAATCATAACAACAATTTTAGTAATATTTTTTTTCAAGATTTTTAAAACAGAGAATGAACTTTTGTTTACAAATCTGTCGATATGCAAAAAAATGGCCGATTTTACGAGCGATCAAAAAATCGATTCAAATCACTATAAGTTCTATTTGAAATGCAAATGGAGTATTATGTTTACTGGAAATAGTAAATTTAATACTTTAGCTTTCAATTAAAGATAAAGTGAAAGCTTCAAGAAAACTTTTCTATTTATAAAAATTCATTTTAAACCTTAGGTATTGCGAAAAAGTGAAGATTCCCACTTTTGTGCTTATGAACAGCATTTATCATGATGAACCGGCAACAAAGACATGAGAATGAGGCTCTACAGACAGAGGATAAGGCAGCAATAACATAGATAGTATCGTAACAGCTGAAATTCCTGATGCCAATGATGACCCAGCCTTGCAGGATTTAGTAAAAATAATGCATGATACATGATCCTTGCGGAACAGATAATCCTTTTTCCCCTTGCATGGAAAATGGCGCATGCCAAAAGAAATTCCTAAAGAACTACAGAGATGAAACGCTTCTGAATTTGAATGGCTATCCAGAATACAGAAGACGCAATACTGGAGTCATTGTTCAAGTTGGACGTCACTCAGTTGACAATAGGAACTTTGTGCCATACAATGCCTACCTGTTGAAAAAGTACAGAGTTTACATTAATGTAGAAATTTGTTCATTTGCGACAACTCGGCCTCACATTGACTGCTGACCTGAGATGGAACAAATACATTGAGTCAATAGCTTCGTCCACCACAAGGAAAGTTGGCTCCCTGTGCCGCGCCAGGAAATTTTTCTCGCCGGGGTCGATCCTTCAAATCTAGCAAATCAACCATTCGTCCTTGCATGGAGTATTGCTGCCATATATGGTCTGCTTCCCCTTATGTTTGTCTCAAGGTTCTTGATAAGATCCAGAGACGGATATGCAACGTAATTGACCCTGATCTGGCATCTTGTCCGCAGTCGCTCTCTGACAGACGTGCCGTCGCTTCCCTCTGTCTTTTTTACAAATACTTTCATGGTAACTGCTCCGAGGAGCTGCTTTCGCTGGTTCCCAGACTTCATGAATTTAAGCGTTCTACTAGGCTGGCATCTCGCTCACAGCCTTTCACTGTCGAAACTGTTAAATATAGCCGTCTCTTCTACTCCAATAGCTTCATGTCTCGCAACTCTCGCCCGTGGAACTCCCTCCCCTCTTCCTGTTTCCCTGATAGCTATAATCTCTAACTATTCAAATGTAATGTCAATCGACGTCTCCAGATACCTTGATCTATCCACTATCCTTCTTCGCATTCTTTCCTCTATCACTCCTCTTTGCTCTTGCTCCAACTCTCTCTAACCCCTTGCGTGCTAGTGGCTTCCCGCCTTGCTTGGGATGAAACGCTTAAAAAATAAGTACATGTATAAGGGACATGACTGTGATTCTTTTGAAGTAAGAGACAATTGTGAGCAGAATCAAACTCACGATGAAATTACTAATTACTTTGCCTGCCAATATGTTTTCTCTCCTACGTGGAGACTGTCAGATTTCAAGCTTAGTGACACATCTCACAATATCTACAGATTTGCTGTACATCTTGAATACGAGCAGAGATTTTACTTTCAGAGAGGCAACGCTCAACAAGCTGCCCAGGCACAGATGAACCGTGACACTATCATCACTGCATGGTTTAAGCTGAATGAGCATGATGATGATGATGCAAGGAACCACTTGTATCCTGACATTCCGCTGCAAATATGTGTTTAATAAGCGCTCTAAAAGATGGACACGAAGGCAAAGGAATACAAATATCATCTGTAGAATGTGAGCCCTAGAGGCAGAGAAAAATTTCATTTGCAAATGTTACTGCTGCATATGCTTTGCGCACTGTAGGAGAAATCTTGCCATCATTTAAGGCAGTATGTCTGAAATATAGTCTTCTCTCAAACGATGACACAATGGAACGTGCATTGCTAGAAGCTGCAGCCTGTCAGATGGCCTTACAGTTCCATGTTGTTTGCGGCCCTGTGCACGTATATGAACCTGCAAATGCTCTTCAGCCGTTGACCACTCACAAGGAATCCATGTGAAGATTTCTTGCAACAAGGTTTTAATGCAGACCATACAGAAAACATGATACTGCATTCAATTAGTGCAATTCTGATAGAAAATGGCATTGTTTAGCAATTGAGCTGCCTGAATACCGCAGCTTGACCATCAGGAAGACTTGGATTACCCAGGCATTGCAACACTTACTGATTAACAGAGATTGCTGATGCTGTGCTTGAATCTGTAGATAAGAAGAGGAGAGGTGAGGCGTCCCAAAATTCCTGTTTCTATGTAGATGCATCAGGAGGCTGTGGTAAAACTTAATACCATAATTTCATATCTGCGAAGGATTAACTGGAACATGTGCAGTGGTGCTTGGACGGGCAATGCCTCTCCATTACTGACAGGTGAAAAGACTATCCTATCCATACGTTTTTCAAATTGCATGTCCCACTCATGGAGGCCAACATTTGTAATGTACCAGCCACTTCAGACCATGCATATTATTTATGAAACCTGATTTGATCATCTTGGATGAGGCTTCTATTAACCCTTCATTTGCTCTTCATGCTATTCACGTAATTTTCCATTCATAGGTAAAAACTAAGACGAAATATGTGCAGACAGTTTTTTTTTTATTATGCTGTTTATTGCGCCCTGAAGATGATAATTTTAAATTGTCGAAAGTACTTGACATGTGTTTCCATCTGAAAAACAACTCGAATATAAGGATCTAATTATTCAAGGAATTGGTAGTAAGTCAATGTCTCATGAAGTTCTCTTAGTGTTATGGGACCTTACCCATAATAACATAATGGACTATTCCATACGTAATAAATACTGCGCCTCAAGAGGAAGCAGAGAGTTCAGCCCGAAGTCGGGCGACCGGCTGATCGGTTGAACTTTCTGCCTTCGGGCGAGGAGGAACCCGAACGAGACTACGCCGAAAGGTGGAGTCTCTTTCAGGGAGATAAACCGACCCTGAACCTGTTTATACGGGTTCAAAGGGCATATTTTTGACCGAGCCCACGGGCTCGGAGATCCCACGTTAAACCGGCCTTGTGCCACATGATACCCTCGTGGGGCGTGACTAAATACTGTTCAGTCTGAAGTCTGGAGTGAAGTCCGTCAGGAGTCTGTCAGTCAGTCAGAGCGAGGAGTCAGTCAGTCGAGTCAGAGGCAGCCCGAAACAGAGTCGCGTTCAGACAATTACTACTAAACCTGATTGTTCGTACTAACACTTTCTACTTCTCTGTATATATTCCTGTTTGTAATATATCTGTGTTATTCCATATCCGTGTTCGACTTCTTCTTTATTGGTTCTACCTTGGACTATCACCGTGGTACAAGGAACCGGACCATAACACGTAGCGAAGTGATTTCGCCAGTAATCACATTAACATTGGTATTTAATTCTTTGTAAAAATTGTTTCTTTATTATATATATATATATATATATATATATATATATATATATATATATATATATTTAGTTGGATTGACGTGAGTTTGTGACATGCCTGACGATCGCAAAAGCGTGAAACCCATGGTCAAAAACTCACATCAATCCAATATGTTAACTCTATCCCTGATATTGAGCGTTTTCCAATAGGTACTGCACATATATAATATATAAATAATATATATAATAAATTGCATACACATATTTATATGCATACACATTTCGCATATATATATATATATATATATATATATATATAACATGATCTATATACCGTATACTCGAGTATCGTGCGATCCTCAAATGTTCACTTATAAAAAATGATTCTATCATACGAGTTCCTTTCTTGAGAGACCAAATTACAATAGACTAACCTCTTTTCCTCTATCTCTTTATCCCATCTTCTAGTTAAATAAGTTAAAAAAGTAAAAGAGAATACTTGTTGCGTAAACGTGCCCAGCCATAAACAACCGAACGAGAAACAGCTTATCATCGTATAAACGTAAACCATGGAAAAGATACATATTCGCTAGGTTTGTATTTTATAATACGATATTAATATGTGAATATTAAATGCATTATTACTGGATACAGTTAAGTAAAACATCAGTTTTATCAAAATCATGTTTATTTTAAATACAGCTGTACTTTTTGACTACATTAAATGGATATATAGTTTGGTCAACGGCGTAGCCAGGGTCAGCAGTATATCGACTTTGGTTGGTTTGAGGCACCCAGTGATCGATCTGCAAGAGGTGTTTAAGGCAGGGTCAATTTTTTTCGTCGACATGAGGTGACCGAGATAGATAGATAGATAGATAGATAGATAGATAGAGAGAGAGAGAGAGGGGGAGAGAGAGAGATTGGGAGAAAGAAAGATAGGAAAGGTCATCTATTTTGTTGGCTTGAGATACCCAGTGATCGATCTGCAAGAGGTGTTTAAGGCAGGGTCAATTTTTTTCGTCGACATGAGGTGACTGAGATAGATAGAGAGAGGGAGAAAGAGAGAACGAGAGAGAGAGAGATAGGAAAGGTCATCTATTTTGTTTGGCTTGAGGAACAAGTCATCGATCTGCAAGAAGTGTTTAAAGCATTGTCAATTTTTTTCGTCGACATGATGTGACTGATATAGATGAATACATAGATAGAGAGAGAGAGAAAGAGAGAGAGAGAAAGAGAGTGATTAGGAGGGAGAAAGATAGGAAAGATTATCTATTTTGTTGGCTTGAGATACCCAGTGATCGATCTGCAAGAGCTGTTTAAGCCAGGGTCAATTTTTATTTCATCGACATGAGGTGACTGAGATAGAGAGAAAGAGATAAAGAAAGAGAGAGAGAGAAAGAGAGAGAGAATGAGAGAGGGAGAGATAGAGAGAGAGAGATAGGAAAGGTCATCGACTTTAGTTGGCTTGAGGCACCCAGTGATCGAGCTGCAAGAGGTTTTTAAGGTAGGGTCAATTTTTTAGTCGACATGAGGTGACTGAAATAGCTAGCTAGCTAGCTTAGCTATATATATATATATATATATATATATATATATATATATATATATATATATATATATATATATAAAGAAAAGGAGCGAGAAAAGAGAAAGGTAGTAAAGGTCATCTATTTTGGTTGGATTGAGGTACCAGTGATCGACCTGCAAGTGGTGTTTAAGGTAGGCTCAATTTTTTTTTCGTCGACATGATGTGACTGAGATTAAAAGACAGATAGGTAGATAGATAGATAGATAGAGAGAGAGAGAGAGAGGAAAGGTCATGTATTTTGGTTGGCTTGAGGCACCAGTGATCGATATGCCAGAGGTGTTTAAGGCAGGGTCAATTTTTTTTTCGTCGACATGATGTGACTGAGATAGATAGACAGATAGAGTGACAGATAGATAGATAAAGAGAGAGTTTGAGAGAGAGAGAGAGAGAGAGAAAAGGTCATCTCTTTTGGTTGGCTTGTGATTCCTAGTGATTGATCTGCAAGAGGTGTTTAAGCCAGGGTCAATTTTTTTTTCGACATGAGGTGAGTGAGATAGATAGAGAAAGAGAGAGAGAAAGAGAGAGAGAAAGAGAGAGAGAAAGATATATATATAGAGAGAGACAGAGAGAGATAGGAAAGGTCATCTATTTTGGTTGGCTTGAGGCACCCAGTGATCGATCTGCAAGAGGTGTTTAAAGCTGGGTCATTTTTTTCGTCGACATGAGTTAACTGAGATAGATAGCTAGAAAGAAAGAAAGAAAGAAAGAAAGAAAGAAAGACAGAAAGACAGAGAAAAATACAGGGACCGAGGGATAACAAGTAGATGACAGGTCGGGCTATGTTTTTAGTAGTCACACAGTTTTTCATATTTCTTAAGAAAACCAATTTTATCTAATCTCGATTCAGCTGCAACAGAGAAAATACATCCTTGATGTTAGAATAAAAAAAACAGGCAAGATATGTCACGTATCACATAATTCTCTTAGTCATGAGGACGTGTTTTGAACAAAAACAACTGCTAACTGACCTTGTAATGAATGTTTTCCCGTTACAATAACAGAATATAAATTTAACTATATAAGTAGGGCCGGTGCCTACTGCCTCCGACCCCCTCCCCCAATATGTGCTGATTGGGGGCCCCAGGCAGTGCTTTGTGACCCTCGCCATTTTATCAACAATTGCTTTTCCTTACCTAAATTTATATACAAATTAAAGCACAACTGACTATTTTCTCGGATTTTGCTGTCATTCTGGGCTCTTTTTTATCCATAATGTTGAACATGTTAAAATTCTTCAACTTTTTAACAAGAAAACTCTCAAGTTGATGTTAAAAATTGCCGCAAAACATTGCTGATTTATTTAAGATGGAATGATCTATTATGACATGTCTCTAGTTTTTATGGAATGATCTATTATGACATGTCTCTAATTTGTATTTAGATACATTGTATTTATTTTCATTTTTTTCTAATTGAATTGTTCACCTATATTACGTATGATCCATTATTGTACATAATTAGGTTACAATAAACTTCAGAAGTAATCTTCAGGATCCCTTTATTAATTCTACGTTCTTTAGGACATTAGCGATTATAACTCTTCACAATTTCCTGTTTTTGTATCCCTTAATAATTTTTTTTTTTTTGTTATTTCTCCTAAACCTTGTTCTTCCATTCATTTACCCAAGCTCGCTAGTTAGTTCATGCCTCTATTTTCTCTGTTACTCTATCCTTCATTCTGTCCAGTGATCATTATTATGTAGAAAGATGACCGACACTAATTCTTGAACTCCTCCGTCCGCTATGAGCAGAACGTCTGCTCATAAGAATGGCCGTCTCAAAATGTTTCGAAAGGCGTAGCGTTTGAGTCGTACGCATTGCTGCACAGACCTACGGTATACTCCATTACTGTATTATTAATCCATGTCTCTCGTGCGATTAAACTTGTTCTCCACTTGACCTTCTGTTCCAGTGTTTCCTTACAAGATCATTAACCAGAACTTTGAGTCTCATACGAACTTTATAACAAGCATCAAATTTTGCAAGATTTTTAATGTCTCTTGTCAATACTTCATAAATAATGAAAAATTTTCGTTTTGAATGTAGAAAAACGCCAAAGACAAATCAGTGACGCTACTTGGTTTCGGTGTGAAAAGAAAGAAAGAAAGAAAGAAAGAAAGAAAGAAAGAAAGAAAGAAAGAAAGAAGTATTTAACGTCTCCTGTCAATACCTCATAAATAATGGACTATTCCGTTTTGACCGCGTAAAAAGAGGGGAAAAGACCTACTTAATTTCAGTGAGAAAATGAATGTCTGACAGAAAGAAAGAAAGAAAGAAAGAAAGAAAGAAAGAAAAGAAAGAAAAAGAAAGAATTGCTTAACGTCTCCTGCCAATACTTCATAAATAATGAACTATTCCGTTTTGAATGTGGAGAAAAACGCCAAAGACAAATCAAAGACGCTATTTGGGTTCGATGAGAAAAGAAAGAAAGAAAGAAAGAAAGAAAGAAAGAAAGAAAGAGATAGAAATGTTTAACGTCTGTTTCAGTGAAATGGAAAAAATTGTCAATTTCAAATCTTTACATTTGTACCCGCTTGCTTCATAAAGTAACGACTGGCATTCATATTTATGATTGTTATTGCAATATTTTTTTTAATTGTTAAGATCAAATATTTAATAAGCTTATGGAGGAATTTCTACGGATTGTCGTAGAACTCGCCAAAAGCTTATTCAATCATTAACTTAAGAATTAAGAATCATCAGAATATTCAAATAGGAAAACCGTGAATTTTTCTCGGGTCTTTCTAGTACAGTGTAACCCGTATATAAGAGAAACCCGGATATAAGAGAGATTTTCTCTGGTCCCAAATTAGAGCCTGTGTTAATGCATATAATTAGACCAAACCCGGATATAAGAGAAACCCGGATATAAGAGAAACCCGGATATAAGAGACTTCTTCTCCGGTCCCGACAACTCTCTTATATCCGGGTTACACTGTATATATATACATCTACTTAAATCCCTCTTGATAGCAACAAGTGATGAATTGTCCTGAAAATGACACTTCATTTGCTCTAATATTAATCAAAGATTAGAATCCCCGGATTTACAACCGTAAATGACATAATTAATAGCCATTTAAATCTATGTTTGTTGGTATGGGTTATTATAAATTATCTCAAACCTGTCATGTCGCACGTTACAAAATAAAGCCTTTATTACTCATAATTATCAATCGTTAGGCACTTTCAACAAAATAAAATATCTACAAAAGTCGCAACACTAAAAATACTAGTACAAGTAATTTTTATTTATTTATTTATTTATTTATTTATTGTGCTGACGTGGGTATGTCATAGATGGCAAAACAAAAAATATAAGTTAGAATCATAGCGGGTGATGGGTGAAGTCGGTAAGGTAAGTAACCTGATTTGAGAGAGTGTGGTCTTGCTAGCCAATGAAAACGCTGATAGAGTGGGCGTGTCGCTTTGTGTTTATTGTTAAGGCTCTGATTTCGGGTAAAACTGGCATGGTTTGAGTTTTACACACAAAACCGTTCGGTAGCAAAAACAACTCCAGTTGGGGAAAGTTTCCGAAAAGTTTTTTACAGTAAAGAAAAACAAGCTAAGAAAATGGACACACTGGTCACTACAAATGGACACACCGATCCCGTAAGTATTTGATCTAGATTTTAAGCATGAAAAAATATAGAAGATTATTAGGAGTTTTCAATCCAATGAACGATCTGTTAGGTGTTTCCTGAATTTTTGCTTCAAAAATGTCTAATTTTCAAAAGAGAATTGATGCAGATATAAAATGTTATTATATAAGCCAATGTGTTCTCTATAAAAATAATGTTATCCATTAGATGTTGTGTGGGTCGTGTATAACATCTATAATATATAGTATCTATAAAAAGAATACCCGCTCGGCCGAGTGGCTAGGACAAAGTGTAGTATCTGCGCTTTGTGAGCTGCCGGGTCGGGTGTCTGTCGAACTCTCTGCTCGTTGAGAGGAACCCGGACGAAGCTCTGCCGAAGGGTAGGGTTTCGTTGGGAGAGGTTGACGGGTTTGGATGGTTATTTGTTTTTGGCTGGGCCTACGGGCTCAGAGATACCCACATTAAAAAGGCCTTGTGCCACATTCGATCCCCATGGTTGGATTGATAAATACCATAACATCTGTTACAGCAGGGGTCGGCAACCTTTTTTTGACTATGTACCGAGTTAAGGTTTTAAAATCATTCAGAATGCCAACAGAATACAAGTCAAGGTCAATATACCTGGGTACCTCGAGGCGGTGTAATGGTCTGCAATTACGACTGAGTAGTGAGTTCGATCCTCACTGGGTGACCTCACTTTCGGCCTTGTGGCATATCTAAACTATGCTTGGAAAATCACTATAAGGCTATACATTTTTGAGGAAAAGAAATATTAACAGAAATAGATTTTTGACAAAACAAGAATATTTCCTGGGGAAAAAAAGTTGTCGGCATTAAATACTCCATTGAGGTTGATATGCCGTAAAACAAACCAATCAATATACCAGTTCTACAATATATTTTATATAGTAATATATAGTATATATACTTTAGTATATATTAAAATTGAAACAGCTGAATATCTTACTTGCGTTGTAGTAGTTATTGGTTCGAACTTCGTGATGTCATTTGCGGCTACGTGCCATTGGAAATTGCTTGGCGTGCCACGTGTGGCACGCGTGCTTTAAGTTGCCGACCCCTGTGTTATACAATGCCACCGTTCTTTCTGTGCTACTATACGGCACCGAGACGTGGCCTCTCAGCAAAAACCTCGTGATCTTGTGTACCTTGAATGAGCGGCTAGCCGAACAACCTCTGCGCTGTCGTTCAGCGCTGGCTCGCTCGCGTCCTGCGACGACCTGATGACCACCCTACCAGGGTCATCAACCAAGTTCTACTCACCATCTTCAGACAGGCGACGGTCTCGCGGCAGACAACGCAACCGCTGGCTGGAAGGGCATCATCCACCGGGACCTCGAGCAGATTAATCTGGCTCTGAAGGATGTTTCGGCGCTTTACCAAGACCGTGAGAATTGGAGAGGCAAAAGTGGCTCCCGTGATCTCAAAGCCTTCATGTGAAAATATTGCGTGTTGTAAAAGAAAAGAAAAAAAATACCGCAAAGAGATTTTTGGGAGCTGTCAGGTTTTATTATAGCGATTTTCTAAGCGTATCTTAGATGTGGCACAAGGCTGGAAGCATGGGGCACCCAATTAGGATTGAAATCACGATTCAGTCCTAAATGACCTAGCAGGTCAAGCTTGCTAACCATTACACCACGCTGAAGTGCCCTTTTTTAATTCTCTAACCCATTTTAGGATCGAACTCGCTACTCAGTTGTACTTGATCTGGCGAGACAAGCTTGCTAACCATTAAACAATTATTGCAAACAATATAATAATAATTTTTATTTATAAATAAATCTATTTTTTATCTCAAAAAATAAACAGCAAATTTTGTCTGTCCGTCCATGTGTTTGAAACCCCACTAACTCGGACAACACTTGCCCTACATAGACATATTATTCCTTTTTGGAATCAGGATGATCTCGGGATTGAAAATTTGCACTTCATCTGGCTATTAGACATCCAACATTGGGATTTGTGTCCGAAAAAAGAGGGAACAGTTAAAAATAAATTCAAATTTGAAAATAACTGAAAAAAATTAGTGATTTTTAAAGTTTTAATTTATATTGAGTTTAAAGTAGCACAAAAACTTTGTGAGTTAAAAAAACATTTTTTTTAAATTCAGTTTAAAATATCTCCAAAACTTTGTAAACTGAGGAAATCAGATTTATTTCTTGAAAAATGTCAAAGAATTAGAGTTAAAGTGAGAATTTTCCTGATGTGTGGTTTTTAAGTTCTACGGAGTTTGTGATTTGAAGAACAGAATTTTCGGCCCAAATCGGACTTTCAGTCCAAATCGAAGTTTCGGCCCAAATCGAAGTTTCGGCCCAAATCGAAGTTTCGGCCCAAATCGGACTTTCATTCCCAAATCGAAGTTTTGGCCCAAATCGGACTTTCAGCCCAAATCGGAATTTCGTCCCAAATTGAACTTTCGGCCCAAATCGAAGTTTCGGCCCAAATCGAAGTTTCGGTCCAAATCGGACTTTCGGCCCAAATTGGACTTTCGGTCAAATCGGAGTTTCGGCTCAAATCGGACTTTCGGTCCAAATCGGAATTTCGTCCCAAATTGAACTTTCAGTTCAAATCGAAGTTTCGGCCCAAATCGGACTTTCGGCCCAAATTGGACTTTCGGTCTAAATCGAAGTTTCGACTCAAATCGGACTTTCAGCCCAAATTGGAGTTTCGGTCCAAATCGGACTTTCGGCCCAAATTGGACTTTCGGCCTAAATCGAAGTTTCGGCCGAAATCGGACTTTCAGCCCAAATCGGAGTTTCGGTCCAAATCAAAGTTTCAGCCCAAATCGGACTTTCAACCCAAATCGGAGTTTCGGTCCAAATCGAAGTTTCGGCCCAAATCGGACTTTCGGCCCAAATTGGACTTTCGGCCTAAATCGGACTTTCGGCCCAAATCGAAGTTTCGGCCCAAATCGGACTTTCGGCCCAAATCGAAGTTTCGTCCCAAATCGGACTTTCGGCCCAAATCGAAGTTTCGACCCAAATCGGTCTTTTGGTCGGAATTGGACTTATAACCCGAATCAGAATTAAAGTGAGGTTTTGAATTTCCATGAGGAGGAATTGAAGAATTCAAAGATATTTCTTCAAAAGTAATCATTGCTGGGTTTTTTTTGGGGGTGGGGGGTAACCAAAGGTCCCTTTAGTTTTGGATCAGAGGAGTTACAATAAAAGTCTACACGGGCTTAAACTAGTTTATAAATTAATCCAAAAGATATAAACTGCAGAAACATATATTTGATTATCCTATAAACATGAATAAATTATTATAATATATGTTAATATATTCTTATTGACGCTTTTTTTTTCAATCGACTGAAGTTATTAACTTTTCTACTCTTTTAACTTAAATATAGAAGTTTTATTCCTTTGATTTAAAAGTATTTTGTTTCATCATCATCGACATCATCATCATCATCATCATCATCATCGTCGTCGTCGTCGTCGTCATCATCATCATCATCATCAATGTTTCGACTAGCAATCACACAGACTGATTTCTCATTTTCATCATCTGTGTAACTATCTCTTCATCAGTCCTCTCCCAACCTCTCTGACTTGTGCTACTGGTCTTCCGAGCTCTTCATTTTTGTTTTTTTTTGTTTTCTTTATGGAGTTAATGGAATTTTAACCGCTTGAGCCATGACCACCGCTTTACCGGTGATAGAGAAAAATGATTTAATGTCCTGCCACGGGTTGAACAGTGGTAGAGAAAAAGACTTAAT